TTGAGTTTAAACGTTTGACTAAACTCTTTAAATTGCGCCAAAATTTCATCGCGTTTCTCCGGAATCGACGACTGTGGGACTTTCGGAACGACAGGAATAGCCTTAGGAGGACGTTTCACTTTGTCACGCGATGCTTTGTCCTTGGCAGCTTTCTCACTCTCAGAGTATTTGTTAAAACGATCAATGGCAGTCTGTTCAATTGGCTTGTACTTAGTTGTCTGGGGTGGTTGTGATGACGAATCCTGGGACACACGAAAATAAGTGGGTGAGTTTGACTATTCTACGTGTGTGTCCAAGCCGAATATTGGCGAATTTACCTTCGTTGGGGGTAGGGTACTCGTTTTTTGCATAACAGGTTCCAACAGAGTTACTCTCGATACTGGATTTTCAGAAGCATTCTTCGTCAACGGGAATCCTTGTTTTTTCTTATCCAGAGAACTCATGCTCTGATTAAACATCTTATCACCCGACTTGACGTCGCCGAGCTTTCCGGTATCTTTTGCTGCAGCTGCTGTCACTGGTGCAGCACCAGCTGATGAAGACAACGTTGACCTGCTTTCGAAAGATGACGTTCGAAGCGGTCGAGAAGAGGGTGCTTGTTTGCGAGTGGGAGGTTGGACCAAAGCGGTGGGTTTCCGAACAACCGCACCGTATCTAAGAGAACAGCGACGACGGTTAATCAGTTTGTGAAGATAATACGATTAAAGATGCAAAGGTAACATACCTGTCCTCTTCGTCTATAATATTATCGTCCAGTTCGTGTCCTCTTTCTTCCAATACATGGACATTAGTAGCAGATGACTACAGCATCAAAAAGTAAAAACCTATGTCAATATTTCTCAGACAAGCCGCCCAACTTTCCAAAAACTTCATACCTGTTCAATTTCCCTGGCAATCCTCTCGGCTTCTTTGACCCTCTTCTTATAATCTTCACTCTCTCTATTCAATGGTGTGGTGTAAATCTCTTCATCATAGTCAGTCGTTAATCCAAACTTGCTTTCATTCGCTGCAAACTGATCCCACGGTCCATCCGTTGAATCTTCTAAACCCAACATTGTATCGACTGATGGATCTGGTACCCATTTCTGGAGTTCTCTTTCTTTGGTTCCTTTAGCGCCACTGATGGCGGTATCGGTTTGGAAACCTATGTGAGAAGTGCAGTTGTTAGCACACACTTGATTTCCAATGTAGTTTTAGATTTAATCCAAACTTCAAATCAATACCTTTCTTGTTTCTTTTTGAGACTTCTTCATTCACTGTGATATTTTTCGCAGTCATCATTCCAAAATCCTTTCCCGTAATGATCAAAGTGGGAATTGCAGCGCTAGAGCTGAGATTATTAGTAGATGAGTTCGGGCTATTGGTGCCCACTTTAATTTTTCGGGCATGTTTAAGAACGACGGAGTATCCATCTTTTGGATTTGGATTTACGGTGTGCAGGATGCCTTCATAGACGTGATTGCTTGTTGTTGTGACGGTGACGGGATGTCCGAGGAGGGAAGCGTTGGCGTACAGAAATTGAGCGGCGACCCACGATATCATTTAGTTTAATGTCTGATATAAGAAGGTAGATTGTAAAACGGAGGATGAGTGATAGTCAGCTAGATTTGATTCTTGTCCTTAATCTAAGTTTGTGGGTTTGTGTCAGGGCGTGAACACAGGAGGATGTTCGAGAGTCCGCGCATTGTGTTTACATTTAATATCAATGATAATTTCATCAATGCATTAATGTAGTTTCTCGGTTTTCTTGCTGATATTATTCATTATTAATCTACTAATAACACTTTCTACATCAAGTTTATCATGTCTTGATTGATCTCTGTACTTGCTACAGCTACTGTGTTTAAAGTGCCAGCGTCCTGGAAGAGTGTTTGGCCAACTCCAGTACTTTCCATCCTTTGGTAACTGGATGTGCCATCGCACCTCCTTCATCGATAGTCATAACTGCAACATAAGTATTACTTGTTATATGATCCGGTTTTCCAAATTTGACTTCACCTGATATTCGATCGCGGAACAAGAAAATCTCTTGTGTGCTAAATGATAGAATCAATACCGGAACAGAGTTGTCCAAAACTTTCGCTGTCACAAGCTGTAACAAAGGAAAGAAAATCGTTGATAAGAAAAAAATTCGTTTGAGAGCGTATTTCATAATCTACTCACCTCAACGTTGCGCAGATCTACCAATTTGGAATCGCTCCTCAAATTCTCTTGCTCCTGCGTCTTGATTCCCGCAGTCAAAACGTTGTATGCCTAATATGACAATATTCAATGAGATTCATGGGGGGATTTGGGTTTCACATAAATTTAAATTACCCCTTCGCCGCAAAATTCTTTTAGAGTGTCTCTATCACTTAATAAATATGCTTCCATCACTTCGGGTATAATAAATTCTCTAGCTTCCTTCAGAAAATCTTCGACGTTAAAAGTGGGATCCACCATTTGAATTTGTGCAGTCGCTTGTGCTGTTTCTGTTTCTTCAAAAATAGAACCTGCAAAACGATGAACGAATTAGGCTCAATCTCCGTTTGGAGGGACGAAGAAAAACCAAACAAACCAAATCGATCCTGGATTCCTTCTACAAGCCATCTTCCGAAATTCACAACTGGATTATCACTCTCAGTTACTGCCTTTCCAACGCTAAACATTCTTTGCATAACGGGATTGTTTTCCTTGAAGCTACTCCAAGTGGCTTTCCATTTACTATCTTTATGTAAAACCATGCCACTTCCAGCTTCTGGATTTTCTTCCATAAGCTTCTGTTGAGCTTGATAAATCGCTTGCCGCTGTTGACGTATGGCCTGACGGTACGATCTAGGGGTCACTCCACCATATCTTGACGCAGTCTCCGATATCATCGTTTGAACATTCGACGAGACATCTTGGAATGTCCTGGATTCAAAAATTGGTGCGGTAGCTTTGCTTGTTGCTTCGGCTGTTTTCTTGGCCTAAATCCTCAAACGTCAATCCCAAGTCTTTACAGTTCAATCAAACGGAGAGACTGACAGTTTCGCTTGCTTTTTCTCCGACTTTTTCGAACGTCTCTTTCGCAGCTTTCCCTATTTCTGTTTCTAAACCTGTATCCACTGTTTCTTTTACTGTTTTTCCTACCGTTTTCATTCCCTCTTTCACTCCTTCCACACCCTTCTTTAATGTCTCTACTGTTTTTTTCACATTTTCATTTTCCGGAGTTGCCTTCGCTTTCTCGAGTACTTCTTTTGCCTTCTTAAGAGTTTCAGACTCGGATAACGAGGATGTCGAATCGGCTAATTGTTTGACATTTTCTTTGAGTTGACGGTTTTGTTCGATTTGGCGTTTGACGCTGCTGATGAAGGATGAAATAAAGCTGTTATTCTGCGGTTGATTGTCGTTTGAACTATAGCGTCGGGATGAATGAGATAGCTTGAAATGTGACTATTGAATTGGAAAATTGAGTCAACATGGCGCATGTTAGTTGCTATAGGGTGTATCACCGACTCAACCGATGGCATACCTGTACAGTTATACGTGATAGAGAACCAGTTGGGGCCCTTGACCTGCCAGCGACAGACGCCCGTCGAAGTAATGCTTGTGATCGCAACATTTAGATAGATACGACTGAGGATGCGGATTTCACCAGATATGACTTGTCAAGACAATTAAATTCAGCTTGGTCAGAGGACTGTTTACATAGTTGCCACGTGACCGTTGTCACGGTGGAACAGTTCCCTCAAGTTGTTGACAGAAAAATGTGGTTCGGATTTCGGAACAGTATTCGATAATTGTTATATTGAGTACAATCTGCATCAACCGACAGGTTTATTTTTGTTAAGCACCGTGAACGGTAAAGGTGGCCGCGTACAGCACAAGAGATGGGAAGGCTACATTATATACACGTTGTGTGTAGGGGAAATTGTCTACTACAGTATTGCATATAGAGAATTGAATGAATAGTGTGTATGAATAACCAGATATAACCACATATATAACTAAGTACACATTACTGGATTAGAGGTCAAAACATCCATCGCACCACAGCACTGTCTTTGAACGTGAATCATCACTAGGATCACTACATCGGGCTTCACACAGCGGATGCACCCTTTTCCATCAATGTTACATTGCTCAATATAAAATGGCCTAGTTGGGCTTGACTACAAATGCCACAGGATATTTGCGTGAAAAAGAATAGCAAGAGATGTGGGGAGGTCGACGTCACCTGGAGGTACTGCAATACCAGGGACATCTGTGCCTTGGGATGACTGCAAGCAGCCAAAGCCCAGGGCCAGATCCAAAAATTGGAGTGACAGGAATGCACAGTTCAATGAACTGGCTCAAAGCTGTCACTTTGAAGAACAGATACTACACTTGATCTTAGCCAAAAGGCCTGAGAAGGTGAGGACCCAGGAAGCTTCCCAGGCCGCTTTTATACTGAATTCGGTACTTGCTTCGCGCGTAGTTGTGACTAGAAAAAGCAGTTCAATTCACCTGTCTGATTGGCCCAAATTCTTCCATTCGCGTAATTGCCCACGACTGCAATTCCCAACTCATGTCCTCATTTCATGGCATTTCACCATTGGAATCATCATCGGTTCTTGATGCTACACATATTCATTGATATTGCATTAAAAGCTGACATCAGTCTGACATCAGAGACTATAAGTAAAACCGGATACTTGTAACTTTGCCAAAGAATATCCTGATCTGTCATATATTTTAGCCAAAGTAATAGAATAGCAGCCCGTCTTCCTTTGATTTCCAAAGATTCTCTATATATCATCATCTCTTTCCTCCCAATTTGCCTGGTCTGCTTCGTACACATCTGCAATATAAAGACCTGTCACTAACTTTGACAAGACCTACCGACCGTTCAGAGGACATCCCAAACAGAACACCATACACTGAATCTAACATTAATTTAAATCGCCTTTACATTTCACAGACTTCTACCTGTGTATTCGTGTGTTTTCTAAGGGTAGTGTCATGAGTTATAAATCGTAAAATAAGTCAATAGGCGTCGGTCTCGAGTAGAGTATCCCCGCCTGTCATTCCAAATATGCACCCTTGACAGTACATATGGATAGACTGACCGCGGGAGACCGGGGTTCAATTCCCCGCTCGAGAGTTTATGCTTTTTTACTGTGGAAGTAAGTAAAGTTCATCTGATATAAGTGGTTTTTCGACTCGTTTTGTTTCTGTCGCGTTAGTCTGTGTCATGGGGTAGTCAATAATTTCTAAACGATTTATATGTAAATGATTCTTTCTTTTTGTCTGGACTCTTGTTGCGTGAACTTATAAATTAAGTTGCAATGGGCAATTTCTTTGCAGATTGTGAACCTTGGGCGTTCATCGTTCACAGTCAAGTGAAACTGGCTGCCACAACCCGAGAGAACTAAAGTTAGAAAATTTGGTTCAACAATTATGTGGCAAAATGTATATTCAAACTCGTGTCTATCTCAATGATAACGAACAATCCATTTATTCACCAATACAAGCAGTCTCAATTCACTTTGGGCAACCAAAACGTATTGATCATCTACTGATTCACGGATGCAAAATATTCTTTGCTCTTCACCGGATCTCCCTTCATAGTCTTATCTCCTTTGCGCCAATTTGCAGGACAAACTTCGCCGTGTTTATCGGCAAACTGGTAAGCTTCTACAAGTCTGAGAGCTTCATCGACGTTACGGCCAACTGCAGTATCATTGATGGTGATCTGCCGAAGGTTAGAGGCCTGATCAATTATGAAGAGACCTCTGTATTTCGTTTTGGATTATATAGGAACATAAAAGTTAGGCAACAATCCGAGCAGTAAGAGCACCAACACAATTTATCAAGTACCTCAAAGAAAATTTCTCGTCTTTCAATACACCATAGTCACGAGATATGTTCTTAGTAAGGTCGGAGACTTTAAACGTTAAAAGCAACATTAACTATACGGAAGTGCAACCTACAGTGCAGAGAATTCTGAATCGAAATTCTTACCCAAAGGGACTTTCATGGATCCCAAACCACCTGTTTTGAATTAGCCAGCTATTGTCAGTATCGCATCCGATACAGGTGTAAACAAATGATTTTGGTACCTTGTTTTCTCGGGACCTGAGTCCAGGCAAGATGGGAATGCTCAGAGTCAACACTGATGGCTAAAACTTCTGCATTGAGCTTTCTGAAATCTTCTAAACGGTCGTTGAACGAGATGATTTCTGTAGGGCAAACAAAAGTGCTAGAATAATTTTATGGGTTGTTAGAGGGGGATCAGTGATCGGCAAGGTGTCTTGGTTCGGATGGCAGTAAATATAAGAGAATAGATGTACGAGATAAGACAACTTACAAATCCAATGGGTAGAACAACAAGACTACATATTTGCCTTTGTAATCCTTTAAATCGACGGTCTTGAACTTTCCATCGACAACGGCTTGAGCTGTGAATTGGGGTGCCGGCTTTCCAATGAAGGCTAAGAAAGGGGGACAGAAAGGCAGCTGTTTTAGACATACTTTATTTAAAGAGAGAAGATAGCAACACCGATACCAACCCTTGGACAAGAGAGAGGAGGAAGCTGAAAAGGGACGGCAGATGTTGAGCGGTCCGAGGGAGGCGGGCGAGGGACGACGGAGGGCGGAAGTGCGGACAGCGGCGGAGAGCAAGCGGAGGGAAGACATGGTTGTGTCGAGAATATGCTCTTGTCTACTTGTGGTGTGGTTGTGGTTGTGGATACAAGATGTAGTTCAAGCAAAGAGAGGGGAATGTCTCTGTTGCTCAGTGGAGAGGGAATCCCCGAAGGAACGCGCGCATTCCCTTTACGAACTGATAACATCCACAGACACTTTGATTAACATATGGTAACACTAGACATTGAAAACAGGAGAGACAGACAGTCCATCTTTTGATTTTGCGTATCCAACATTCATAGTCTATCGATCTCATACGACTTCTCAATGTGCCCATGACAACATCCTTCTTGGAGCAGTCTAATGTGCCCATTCCTACCGTTACTATAGTGACAGGATAAAAAGTGAATAGTATAATATATATTTGTTAATACACTTCTATTAAATAGTAATAAGTAATCGGGATAGATGAATCGCCAGAGAATGCTGCAGTCCGGTGGTTGCCCGCACAATCCGAGCCATGGCAAGGCCCGCTCTCACCGGTTGCTAAATCAGAACATCTTTGAAATATACCATCTACATACATTCTGCTATACATATGACCGGCATCTAATTTATTGAATGTCTTATTGCATTTCTTTTAATCATTCTATTGTCGTCGTCAGTTTGCTCCATCATCCTATATCATGTCGAGCTCAATTCTCAAGTGGATGGGCATGGTAATCACGACTTATCTATCGTAGTTGGTTTGAGCTTTAAATTCCGGGCCTTTTATCCCAGATACTTGAATGTTAAATAGATTAGCTTTTTAATAATGATGTCTACTCACACCTATTTTGGTTATCTTCTTTGCCAAATCTAGAGCGGTAGCTCGTCGAAAGCTTCCAACATCCAGACACCTAACCTCAGTGATTTGGAAGGATCAGAAAAGTTATTTGGATTTGAGAATGTAAGTTTATTGCCGCCGATTGCCTCTAAGTGTCTACAATAATCTTTTGGTTTTTCATTGTTAATCACGAATATTGAAACTAATGTCTTGATTTATCTCGTATCTTCCTGTTTTGTTTATTTTGATTATTTTCTTTTTATTTGCATTATAGTTTGGCAATACATGGTATGACTTTCCATAACTTATCGTACTGCTTTTATGTGATGGCTAATACGTTGTGGTTGGATGAATGTTTACGTTATAGTTACTGTAATTCAGTTTTACAAGCGCTCTACTTTTGTAAACCGTTTCGAGAATGTGTTCAAAATTATCCTTACCTCACCCTCCTGTCCGAATTAGCACCATCTTCATTCGGTCTTAAACCGGTAGAAAGTTCAGGAATATTACAATCCATCGCTTCCTCTCAGCCATCAGCATCAACACAAGACGAGTCATCCCCTTCGTCCCAATCTAAACCAAACTCAAAAGACAGCAGTAAAAGTCCAATGACGAGATCAAATTCGAGTCCAGCGCTATTAAGAAAGCGAACCACATCGACTTCATTTATACCTTCTTTTTCAAGTTCCGCAAAAACGTCACCGACGATGTCAAGGAAAAATACAAGCGATAGTGCTGCATCTACGTCAGCTTCGGCTGCTAAATCTCCTGGATCGACCACTCCGCCGGTTGTTTTGCCCAATCCAGAAGATGATTCATTATTAACCAGTTTGAAGGACTTATTTATAAAAATCACGAGCCAGAAGAAACGGACAGGAGTCATCGGGCCGACAGGATTTGTACAGAAAGTGAAAAGGGAAAACAGTGCGTATCTCACCGGCTACATTGGGATCAACCATCCCATTCAATGAATCATGCAGAGAATTGACATGCTTGAAATCAATTTCATTCTTGTAGTACTGTTTCGATCAACACAGCAGCAAGACGCCCACGAATTCCTCAATTTCATATTAAACTCCTTGGCAGAAACCCTACAGAAACTAAAGCAATCTCAACCAAACCCGCTCTCCCCATCATCTCCACCATCGCATCCTTCAGCCTCCCAAACTCAACCCGAAACGTCCAGCTCATCTAACACGCCACCTAAAACCTGGATCCATGAACTTTTTGAAGGGGAATTAACGAACGAAACAAGATGTTTGACCTGTGAAACTGTCACCAAAAAGTCCGAATCATTTCTAGATTTGAGTATCGATATTGAGCCGAACTCCAGTGTATCTTCGTGTCTTAGAAATTTCTCCAAAAGTGAAGTTTTATGTTGGAAGAATAAATTCTGGTGTGACAATTGTGCAGGATTACAAGAGGCAGAGAAAATGTACAGTCTCTTTCATCTGCCTCTTTTCAAAGTTTTAAATCATTGGTTGGCGTGTTCTTACATTCTCTCAATTCGTCATGTTCAGGATGAAAATACGAAAATTACCTCCGATTCTGGCGCTCCATCTTAAACGATTCAAATATCAAGAGCGATTGCAAAAATATGTTAAATTAATGTACAGAGTTGTCTTTCCCTTTGAATTGAAATTGTTCAATACGGTTTGTCGTTTTTGTTCCATTTAAATTTAGATATCAGTTGGGACTAAATCATTTTATTTTTCGTTGTATGTTGGTCATCTGTGATGAAAATGAAACGGTAAAATAGAGCGATGATGCTGAGAACCCGGATAGAGAATATCAACTGTTTGCTATTGTAGTTCATATTGGAAGGTAATTATATCAACAAAGTTCCACCAATATTAGCTGGTTGTCTACCAGTTGGTTTTTTGCTCAGTTATTGACTATTTGTGACTTTCTGTACGATCGTTGAATAGTAATCCGAATCACGGACATTACATTGCGATCATACGGGTCGGTGATTATTGGTTACAGTTTGACGATGATTCGGTCGAGGTATATGACGACTATCTCTCGTCCTTATACTGAGCGCTTCGGTCTCTGAACTTACAATATCTTGATTTCTCATCGTACATCAAAAAGCTAATCACAGAAGCAGATATTACAAAGTACTACGGCGACTCCTCGCCGTCTTCGCCAGCAAATGGGTATATACTATTTTACCAAGCCCGCGATATCGGTGTGACAAGTTTAAGCAAGCGATGGCAAAGTCCGTTGAGTCCAGTCGGGAGCTCATCAAATTTAGGTTACTTTGGGCGTCATCCCGAGGGAACGGTGAATGGAGATGATAAAGAGAACGAGAAAGAAAATGTAAAACAGAAGAAAAACGAAGGAGGACCCGACGGTAAGAAAAAGAAAGATGAGGATAAAGAAAATAGTAAAAATTGGGGGATGGAGAGTATAAATGTGAATGGAGTCGGAATGGTTGAAAGTGAAGTTTAAAAGTGTACAATTTAATTGACGAACGAGTTATTTCTGTTCATGTTTACGATAACCCAGAGAATAAAGATTGAAACATGTAGAATTGATATCGACGAATTTTTGCTGAATCAAATTGAAGATAGCTGGAAATATCCTCTCAACCACACTGTCTGATGCGACGTGAACAGCGACGCTCAAGTTGTTAACCAAATCTCTCCAAGTCCTTATCCGTCGTCTATCTAACTACTTATTATATT